AGGACGGTTGTGACTCACATGAGTTTCTGTGCTGTCATGCGTGAGTCGTGTATGAGATTGGGCATCTCGACTACGTGTGAGAGAGCCATGTTGGCTGCATTGAACCTCGACGGCGTTGAACCTGCGTTGAACCTCGACCTCAGTAAGCTTAAGAAAAACCCGTCCAGTGAATTCTGAAAATCAAACATGCATTTATCGTGAATTAGTAACTATTTTCGGAACCTTATCTAAAGTATCGCACATCCTGATGCATTTCCTTTTGTTTGCTTCCCAACCAGCAGCAACTAACTGGCTCGATGGATCACAGGAAATATGCGGGAGGCGGGCATTAAAGACAAGTGGATATAGTGACATCATTGACGCTCTACCAAGCACGACCTGCTTACAGGTTCTCTCCCAGTTCCTCCAAAGCATGCCTCACAACGAAGCGGGCTGCTCACCAGAGAGGTTGAGTCGGGAAACCTTAGTCGATCAGCGACCTCAGTCCCTGAAAAAATGGTGGCAGGGTGAATCTTACTCTCGAAGTGGGCTACGCAACCGATGTGACCCCTGGATCCGCCCGCCAGAAGAACGAGAAGGAGAGGAAGAGGAGGAGATCAAATCGCGAAATTCAAAAAAGCAAAGAACAACTTTCACGCGACAGCAGGTGTTGGAGCTTGAAAGAGAGTTCCGGGCGCACACATATCTGACCCGTTTACGTCGCTACGAACTCGCAATTGAATTGAGCCTCTCAGAGTGCCAGGTGAGTACCCCTTTTTGATTTCCTTATCAGCATATGCATCTAGAGATACAGTGAATTTGTTAGCCGAAGTCCTAAAATGTGTTTCTAGCAACCAAAGATTTCTTAAGAAGAAGAAGAAGGAACAGATGTGATCAATGGGACAAGACTTTTATTCGCCTGCCGTTTTGAAACCCGTCACGAATTCTTCGTCAGAGACAATACAAACGGGCGATCCATGCACAGATAGAGGTGGTATTTATAGAACACAATTGCTATGCCAATGGATATTTAAGAGGATTAACGCTCCTATCGCAATGTGTTAAGGCTACTAAGGTTTAACTCTAACGGCTGCGATCTTCCAGGCCTAGTGTCTTAGGAGATGAGGGAAGTATTGGAAAGCCAGCGAAGTATGAACGATATAATGTTTACAGAATGAGTTGGAGAAAAGTTCATAGGAAGGTTGACTCAGCCTGGCGTGTTTTCGACCTTGAGAGCCGTGTGAGAGAGCAGCG